CTGGATGAAGCATGACGGCAGTGCTGGACATCAACCAGGATTCCTGTGCAGTGAGCGGTGTGGTGAGTGTTAACAGAAAGACTGTGTTTTGTGTCAGAGTAGCCTGTTGCTTTCCCTCCGAAGCAGCAGCGGGAACTTTGCAGACGTGATCTGCTCACGCTCTCAGGTCTGTGCATGAGTGCTGATGGAGTTTGAGTCGTGTTGTAGGTAGTGTGGGTGAATGATGGGCGTTATCTGCCTTTTGTCTGATGGTTGTTTAAATATGTGTGTGCCGTCATGTGCTTTCATGTGTCTGTAAGTGTCAAAGGGAGGCCTTTGAGTGTGTGTGTGTGTGTGTGTGTGTGTGTGTTAGGGTGATGACAGTGAAGCATGCTGTATGATGGCGACTCTGTTGGGTGGAGGCAGAGCTTAAAGCAGCACTATGTAACTTTTGGTGCTCTAGTAGTTAATAAACAGAACTGCACACATCCCGCGGAAAAACATTCCAACCGGAGCTACTTCTCTAAGTTTATGTCTATGGCGATTCACGCAGGTATGTGTTGCTCCGCAGCGGTGACGACCCGACCAGGCTACAATAGTCCAAATATAAGAACTTATTATAAGTGTACCGTAGTGATTCGGAATAAGACAAAAATGTGGTTTGGAAGATGAATTCATGATGTACTCGCTCATTATATACATTTTGCAAATTTTGAACAGAAAAGGTTACATAGTGCTGCTTCAAAGATTCTCTTATCACTGGTGGTGTTGATGCACTATGTACAATTTATGGTGCATTTTAGTAGTTTGTCGCACATCCAAACCTTTTTGGGTAGCGATGTCTTAAAAAGAGGGAGCAAGGATTTCCCAAAAAGAATTTGTCCCTTTATGTAAATTGCACTCCCTCTTGTTGCTGTTAATAATAATAATAATTATTATTATTATTATTATTATTGCATGGTGTGAACCAAATGCATCTGCCAAATGCATAAAATAAAGAAATACATAAATGTAAAGAAATGGTGATTAATAATAATAATGTAACAATTTACAGTAAGGTTTCATTTGTTGACATTAGTTAGCTATATTAGTTAACAAACAATACTTATACACCATTTATTAATCTTAGTTCAGCATTTACTACATGTACGAATACATATTAAATTAACAAATGAGACCTTATTGTAAAGTATTACTACTACTACTACTACCACTGATAATGTATATGTGTTGTGGTATGGTATAGCATATGTAATTGATAATGCATATATAATGTAATTAATTTACTTGACACACATTCCAGGTTTTTGTTGTGCATGTTATAAATAATCTGCATAATTTTTCTTTAAAAAATATTTAATAATGCTCTACATTTTAATCAACTTTGCTTTTGGCTGACATCACAAATCTGTCTTCTTCAGATAATAATAATAATAATTATTATTATAATTATGATCATTTTTTCCTGTATGTCAGCCAGCAAACAATATGCTAACAATCATGAACTGATAGTGTATAGCTGTATATGCAATGTAATCTATATGCAATACAAAATCTGCAAACTGCATAAAAGTAATAATAATAATATGCTGTGTAATATACAGTAGTCTAATATATTTAACAATATAATAATAAAAAATATAATTAATATTAATACAATTTCTTTACTTGATGTGTTCCAGGTTTTGTGCACATTATACATAATGCATAATTTTTCTTAAAAATAATTAGAATAATGTTCTACCTTTAAAGGGCACCTATTATGCCTCTTTTTACAATATGTAATATAAGTCTCTCAGGTGTCCCCAGAATGTGTCTGTGAAGTTTCAGCTCAAAATACCCCACAGATCATTTATTATATAATTTTGAAAATGCCTATTTTGAGTGGAAGCAGAAACACGCTGTATTAGAGCATGTCTCTTTAAATGCAAATGAGCTGCTGCTCCCCGCCCTCTTTTCCAGAATAGAGAAGTGCCTTTACAGCTCGTAACTGCTAAAAAAACAACAACATCTGTTTGGTTTTGATTATCATGTCTATCGCGCTGAAATCACATGTTTTAAAGCCATATTAGTTTAAACTTCTGATAGACGGTTTTCTGAGCGCAAACATCCGTAACACACGTATAGAAAGTGGCTGCACACGGCATACGAGTACGAAGTTCTCTTTCACACACGAGTTTGTTAAAAACACGCATAAGTTACAAAAACACAGTTGGTTATGTTTGTGAAGGTAAACAGCTGGGAAAGAAATTGCATGTTTATATTAGATCTGTGTATTAAGTGACATCAGCATAATATACAGTACCTATACTGCTGTCTATGCTATTAATATGCCCCAAAGAATAAAATAAAAGCAGATAATCACTTGTTCTGGACTGAATAACATCTATAGTATAATAAGAAGACATTTCTAACTTGAATGCTGCTTTTAAACACTCTAGCGTGAAGATAAACATGGCGGATTGTGTGCAGCTCACTCAGGGCGGGGTCTTGACTAGATTACGGCAGTGTCAATCAACACTCGTGGGTGGGGCCTGTAAAATGTGACATCACACTTTACCGATTCTGTGATCGGCTTGCTCTGAGACACTAATAATGATATATGGAGATTTTAAAAAAAGGAGCGTGTGGATTTTTATCATTACAGGGTGGTTGTGTACAAACACTGCCAACACACATTTATGTCCAAACAATATGTGAATGTGAATTTTGCATAATAGGTGCCCTTTAACCCCTTAACTGTCACCCCCCATTTTTTAAAATAGGCATGAAAGTGCACTATCCAAACTTAAATTGTTGTAATTTATGAACACTTTGGAATACAGACCAAAGGTTGGTCTCTTTTTAAAGAAGAAAATCAGCAGATTCGCGAAATGGCCTTAAACAATTAGTAAATAAACTGCAAAATGTTATGTTTTCTAATACACGCGCGCAATGCATGTATTCTGACAGCCCTGCACGAGCTCGCGGCGCTATCTGCTTGTTAACCAGGGTTCAAAGTCCAAAGCGCGAGGAAAATCTGGCTGATACAGTCGTCCGTTGCTCAGTCACATTTTTATGAATTTTTACAAGGCATGTGACAATGCGATACGTACGATGTATTCGTAATGAGACTTATTTATAAATCTGTTGTTGTCAACAAAAAGGAAGCATTGAGGTCTTCCTGCGCGTTTCCGCCAAAATAAAAGTTGAGAAAAAGCAAGAACTCTTATCAACATTCATAAATGTTAGTATTGTAATTTTACTGTTCTGTAAAATAAAATAAAAAAGTAAGACAATAATAATGATAATAATCATTAAAACAGCTCTGTTAATACATTTATTATAACAGTCACACATATAGTGTTCAAATTAAGATCTGTAATATTTTCTAATGTTTTTAAAGAAGTCTCTTCTCAGCAAGGCTGCTTTTAATTGTACAGTAAAAAATACATGCCTAATTCAAGAATGGGGTCTGATGGCCAAAAAATATTATTTTACTAATTAATTTTAAGCTAAATTGTGCTTTGTTGGTATAGTGTCTGCTAGAATGTAACAAATGTTCAGTGTTAAATATTTTTAAATTGTTGTTTTGTAATAGATTTTTTTTTCTTTGAAAAACAAGACAAAACAGTAAAAAGCACATTTTGGCTATTTAATTTATGCAACGGCGAAAAAAAAAACACACGAAAAACCGTATTCGGCCTTCGGCCCAGTGTTTCATTTTGTTTGGTTTCGGCTTCGGCCAAGAATTTTCATTTCGGTGCATCCCTATTTATGATGATTACTAAAAGATTTGATAGAGAAAAAGGACAACAACAAAAAAGAGCACCAAGCGTCCCACAGGTGGGATGGTGACAGTTAAGGGGTTTAAATAACTTTGCTTTTTAGCAGTGCATGATGCCGCAATAAGTTTTTGTTTTTGTTATATTGACTTTTTACAAAGCCACATTCATCTTCAGTTACTAAAATTAATTGACTTGATTATGTAGACAGTAACTTCAGGATTGTCACATTTTACCATTTAAATCACATCCTTACTGTTTTACTTTTGAACAGACCTTTGAAAAATGTCTTGCAGAATTTGTGCGCACTGCACAGGTATAGTAACTTCCCTATCTTAATAGCTGCTTTTGTCTCCGCTGTTTACAGACAAACAGAAGACAGGTACTTGTGTTCGGATGAGATTTGAACTTTTTACTGCTGCCAACCTCTTTATCAAGTTCACCTTGTTCTCTTTCTTCCATCCTTATCAGAGCACTGCCGTCTCTGACAGATCCCTGACACGTTTCTGAGCTGCCCTCAGGCACATCTACCTTTAGCTTGATCCGCGCTGCCTGCTTTTCCATTTCTGTCCTGCTGCTGTTGGTTGGCTGCTGTGGTGTTGTCTTGGTAACGGAGTCTTATTGTTGCTGTAGGTTCTTGGATTAAGAGGAAAAAGACCAAATAGCAAGTGACCATGCAGTGTCAGAAGTGATTATATTCTTGCTGTTTTAAGTACTTATGAATTGTGATTTAATTTTCTTGGTTATACAAAAGAGTGACTGTCCTGTTTGATAAACTATAATTTCAGAGTAGCAAAACAATTTTATACAATGTTTGTATTGCATGCATACATTTTTTGTTCAAGTAATTAATACTTTTATTTAGAAAGGATGCATTAAATCGATCAAAAGTGGCATTAAAGACGTTTATAATGTTGCAAAAGATTTCCATTTCAAAATAGTCCTACTCTTTAGAATTTTCTATGCAAATTAACCTGGAAAAAAAAATAAAATAAAATAAAAATAAAAAATAATATATATATATATATGAGGCAGCATCATATATCTTTCATATGTTTTTCATCATTGATAATAATAAAAAACTTCTGAAGGATCATATGACACTTGAGACTGGAGTAATGATGCAGAAAATGCAGCTTTGCATCACAGGAATAAATATATTTTTTTAGTCATAGTAATATTTTGGAATATTAGTGTTTTTACTATTACTATCTATTTTTGATCAAATAAATTCAACCTCAGTGAACATAAGAGATTTTCTTCAAAACCTTTACAAAATGTTCCCGACCATGAATTAATTGACCAGAAGCTACAAGCATTTAGCGTCACAACGAGAGGTATAGAAACATAAAAAATGCATAGCAGTCAGTTCACAAATGCTTTTTTCAGACAAAACCGTTGTATTTCAGATGGACGAGTAGTTGTGCAGTGTCAAATTGAAACCGGGTGTCCTCCAACGGCTGTTTCCATTGTAGACCGCTTTGATTATAAAGGGGAGTGAGCACGTTTTGTCATGTCACAGTGTGCCGCTCACGTCCAGTGTAGAAATGGCAGCACTGTAGAAACACCTGTTTCTGGAGACTGTTTGAACGGTGCATCAAGACATCACACAACAGTCACCTAACATGAGATGTCAGGGAGAGCAATATGTATGTGCACACAAACATAACCGCCTCGTCTATTTTTAAATCTGCTGCCTTTAGTGGGTGCTGTGTGGTTTGCTTCAGGTGTCAGCTGCTAGAATGATTTCTAGATCTTCTGCTTAAGACATCACTATTCTACACTACATTAGAGAGAGATGGTTTTCTTCTTATATATACAAACATGCATGCTGCGTCTTCGGTTAAGGTCACTATAACCTTGTGTTTATATAAGTGTGTGGAGTCTGCAGGTTTGCATCAAAACAGTGTCCGTCTCCTCCAGTGCTGGTCAGAGCTGCTTTTGGTTCTTATGGTCCTCATGCTGTGTGTGGAATGAGATTAGAGCCGGACCTGCTGCTCTTCTGGCCTTAGGAGTCCTTGAGTAGTGCTGTTAGCCTCTCACCTCATTCTTGTGGTTCAAGCCTCATCCTGTTTGTGTCGTGTTGTAGCTGAGCTGTCCATTTCATCCAAGGAGACAGATTTTTTACTTTGACGTATAATGCTGTGGTGGTGGTTGTGGTGATGTGCAACAACAAACAACATCAAGGGTGGGTCAAAACCTACACCACAGCGAAACACAAAGGCGGTGATTGAATCAGACATTGACCTGAATTTTTTTTGGAAACAGGCTAAAAGAAACCTTGAGTTAATTATTACCTGATTTAGAGATGCTATTTGACTGGATGAGCAGATATTTCCTTACAAAGAATAAGTTTATAGGCCCCTTATGTAAACCTTTCAGTCTGTGTTTTCATGCAGACATTGCAGGAATGATTTCAAACAGCTCTATGCTTAAACTGTTGACACCTTTGCACTTCTATTATTAATTCACATGTCATCTTCTGATTGGTTGCAGGAGCATGACATTGAGACTCCTCACGGTGTCCTTCATGTGACTTTGAGAGGGACTCCTAAAGGCAACAGACCGGTCATTCTCACCTATCATGACATTGGACTCAACCGTAAGTTGTCCCATATATTTTCAAAGTTCCTGTCTTTCAGTGGCAAAATGTATCATTATACAGCTCACCTACTTGAAGGGGAGAGGGATTGGTTTTTTAGATGAGTATTTCTCAACCTTGTTCTTGGAGGAACCAGATGTGTAACGTCCAGGGCAATGTTAATTTTTACAGGCATTTTTGATTTAGTCTTAGTCTTTATCTTGAGACGAAAATGCTTAATAGTCTTAGTCACATTTTGAGTTTTTGAGTCTTTTATCGTTTTAGTCGACGAAAAGTCATTGCCTTTTTTGTCAACTTTTAGTCATTATTTTTAGTCATTACTTTGTCAAACTGCAGTTACCAACATTTATTTTGGTAGCTATTTTATATGTAGTCTTCAAACAAAAATAGTCATTAATTCTTCTATCTTTAGACCAAATCAATTAAGCTTATGAACAATTTGAATCAAGGATTGAATTTGGAAAAACTTGAATAAATGATGACAATTTTCATTTTTGGGTGAACTATCCCTTTAACAGTAGTGAAAAGGGAGCAATTTATAAAAAGTTGTTCATATATAATATATATAAATTATAATTTTTGAAAAAAGCAGAATAAGACAAATACGAAAGCGATACAAATTAAACAAATTTTTCAGATACAGTAGGTTTACTTAACATATTTATAACATCTTTTGTTGGTTAACATTAATGACACGGATAGGTACTTAAAGGGTTAGTTAGTGTTAGTGTTTTACTCACCCTCGAGGCATCCTAGGTGTATATGACTTTCTTCTTTCAGACGAATCCAGTCAGAGTTATATTAAAAATTATCCTGGCTATTCCAAGCTCTATCATTGCAGTCAGCGGGTGTTGCAGTTGAACAGTCCACAAGTCGTCAAATAAAGCTCACGCATTCATAATAAAGAAGTACAAACCGAGGATTTGTAAAGAAAAATGTCAGAGGATTTTGATATAAACCAAGAGGAGACTGGTTTTCCTTTGCTAAAGTAAGGAAACTTTGCTTCCTTTGCTCCTATAAACAAACTCGCGAGACTAGCATATCTCAGAGGCGCGCACGCTGTGCCTAATTCCTGCGTCTTCCGCCGGCATGGCTTCCGCTTCGTCTGAAAGAAGAAAGTGATATACATCTAGGATGCCTCGAGGGTAAGTAAAACAGTCAAATTTTTTGGGTGAACTAACCCTTTAATTAGGAATGCTGTCCCTTTAAGACGGAAGGCATGCATGTAATACTGACACATGTTCAGTTTTCACCCACCTGTTTACGTTCACTTAATCCATAACCGATTGTATTTACGTGAGATACTCTACACGATAAACATTTGGACTGCTGTGTGTGTATTTGATGACTGAGAACTGATCGCGCGCTGTATATGAGAACTGAAGAAGTGGAGCGTGCGCGAGAGAGCACTTCTATCAGCGCGATTCTGCCTATCTAACTTTAACTTAATCGATAACGAATTGTGACTCCCGGGAAAAACGGGACGTTTTGTCACCTTATCCCTACCCCTTCAGGTGCTGAGGCCATTGTTTCAGATCCCTAGTTCGCATTTTGGTAGCCTATCCATCCACTGCGGCTGCCATACTGAGACTAGATATGCAAACGCCCCTTATCCGATTGCAATCCAATGACAGGGACACACATTTTGAAGGACAAGACAGTAGCCTATAGGATGTATTTTGAATGTCCGGTAGTCCTCAAATAACGTTATAGTCCCGTCTCGTCTTGTTAATGAAGGCGCGGCATAAATTCCGTCATAGTTTTTATCATCAGATATTAGTTTTAGCTCATCAACGTCTCGTCATAGTCAAAGAAAAAACTCAGCCAGCTGATTTCACTAATTAGTTCTACCTCCTGGCTGAAAAACTGTGCTAATTAGCAAATCCAGGTGATTGGAACAAAAATACTGAGGATGACTTTTACTTTCTGAACCTGGACTTTACACCTCTGAGAGGAACACCATCTTGGTGTCTGAATATGCCTGCTTCCCTGCTATATAATAGAAGATAAACTCATAGTTTTAATACATATAGTAGGCAAAAAGCACCTGGATATCCTACAGTACTTCTAATGCCGAGATTCTGAAGTGTGCTTTCAATTGACACAGTAGAGGAGTTGATGGCTAGTGAATGACCAAAAGGTGCAAATGACTCTTCACCAGGAGTTTGATTGACAGGCGATCAGACCAATCATAACACTGAATGTGCCGTTTTGTCTGACAAACAATCCAGACAGAAGAGTAGATTAATGTCGGTGGACTTGAACTTGAAAAATGGTGTGTATTGACGTTTTTCCACGGTTGACACAAGATACCTCCTGATGTTCATTCATGTTTATTTCATGCTTTAACTAGTAAATATGAAAATCAATGACTCGCCTGCGATTTTGAACGCGATTTAGCGTAGCTTGTCAGTGAACTACGGCTCTGTGTAGTAAATGCCGCTCCATCTGAACGCACGTGCTGGAGATTTACTACTAATCACAGGAGCGGCTTTAATGACGAGATGCGCATGAAAATCGCATTTGATTTTTTGCACAGCCCTAATTATCTGTATACGTGCCACTTGAACTGAGGCACTATGGCGATCTGTCATGACACATTAAAGAGCCACAAAACGGTATTTATAGTTTGAATTTCTTAAATGACAAAATTTGAAAGCTGAGACTTTTTCATACAAAAAAGTAACCTGCTCTGTCTTGTCTGTCGATGCATTGTCAGTTTCCTCTTTGCTCCGCGATGTATTTTTCACTGCGTGAAACGTGGCGCTCTCGCTTGTTGGACATTGCAACAGTAACTAAGAGGAGTCTTTGCGAAGGGTCAATTGATGCCGTAGGTCACAAGACAATACGACTGATGCAGTACATCCAGAATACATTTATATAACACACATTCTTACTATATGGAGCATTTTAACAGTTGCCAAGTTCATTCCTCATCACATGTAGTTCAGGACCTATGTGATTTCAGTTGCACATCAACGCTACGCATTTTCAGACTCTTTATTTGAGTGTATATATGTCTAATGTCCAACTGAAAGCAGGAAAAGTTAAAAAGTAAAAAAATGTGGACAGGAAATTTGTGTTGAAGCCAAGTTTAGGTAGAATGGGGCATCTGTTCTTTTTATTTATTTTGTTAATTTTGGACTTTTATCTAGAGTGGTTTTATTATCATTTCATATTAGGGCTGGACAATAATTCAATATCAGTATGTATCGCGATATAATTTTTTTCAATAACGGTGATATGATTTTTAAAGTAAATTGCATTTTAAAATATTTCCAAATAGAAAAGAACTATTTTAAATAGTAAAATTATTTCAAAATGTTACTGTTTTTGCTGTATTTTGGATCAAATAAATGCAGGCTTGGTGAGCAGAAGAGAATTATTTAAAAACAATAAAAATCTTACTGTTCAAAAACTTTTGACTGGTATGTTGGAAGATATTAATAATTAATAAGGTGAGTCTGAGATGTTTATTTGACAGTGATTTCACATTTCTTGTTTGTATGAAGGCTAAATACAAATAAAAGGTGAACATTAATTTATTTGTGCTGTTTTTTTTCTCTAAAGTATTATATGGTTTTATATGAGGTGTCATAGACTTGGCAAATTCATTTTTCATAAGTTTGTATGCACAGACATCTGTTGTGGGCGTTCTTGGCAGTTTTTACAAGGCTTTTTTAAATAGTGTTCATATCGATATCGGAATTATATCGTATCGACCGAAATTAAGAAATATATCGTGATATAAATTTTGGCCATATCGTCCAGCCCTATTTCATATCTATACAGCTTGTACACAGTGAAACAAAAACACATTCCTCCAGGACCATCGTACAACATAAGACAACAATGAAGTAAAACTTGAACTGTACAAAAGTAAAATTATATTAAATAGACTAAACCAAAGAGATCGATAAAAAGAAAAAAAGAAAAAATAAACATTTATACACCGACTACACAAGAATACATGTACATGTGTGCATACTGAGGCCCCGTCCACACAGAGACGCGTTTAGCTGTATACATCAAAATTTTCTATCGTATCGAGTTTCGTCCAGACGGATCCAGTGTTTTGGGAGTGTGAAACCGCTATTTTTTGAAACCAGGTCCCAGAGCGGATAAATCTATAAATGACACCTTTGCATTTTTGTGTGTACAGCCAATCCGCATATTTTGTGAAACGATGATGTCATCAGCCTACATCTCGCCCCTAGTCAGACACCGCTACGTCACGTAACAGCAACAAAAACATGAACAAATACTGAACGATTGTCTTTTTATTAACTAACTAAATCTATTAATCTATTAATAAATCTATTGTTCCATGTTCATTTACTTGTAGTTGTGTTGAGTTTGTATACAGCGCGCAAGGTTTATGCGCATGCTCCAAGTCTTCTTCTCTGTTTTTAGTGTATCTCTGTGGCAGAATTACAGCACCACATACTGGTCTGGCATGTATACGACATCGTTTTGACTCGGTTTCATGGTTTCGTGTGAAGATATTTCTTGAGACGAGGGAAAAAAAAGATAGGATAGGGAAAGCTCTGGCTTCGTGTGGATGTGGCCTGAGTTAACAGTGCAAACAGCATGAGATGGTATAATTTTACAAAAAAAAAAAAAACACAGGTAACAGTAATAGAGACAAGGCACAGTAGTGGTGTGCTGTTTTTTGTTTTTGTTTTTTGGGCTGTGCAAAGTATTCACATGCATATGATTCAGGTATGCAGGGTACCATTTTCCTCTTTGATAATGATTTATGAAAAAATGTTTGAGAAGTGTCTTTGTTTTTCTCTTGCGATGCAGATAAGTCATGTTTCAACACACTGTTTAACTTCGAGGACATGCAGGAGATCACCCAGCACTTTGCTGTGGTCCATGTTGACGCTCCAGGCCAGCAAGAATCTGCCCCTCCTTTCCCCACCGGGTAAGACAAACTAGCGAAAGACTTTATCTATCTATCTATATCTATATATATATATATATATATATATATATATATATAACCAATTCTAACATTAACTGTTCTGTAATTATAGACAGCATGCAAGGCAGTGCACTAATGAGGCTACATCTATTCAACTTGAAAACTCACACATTTACTACTGACACAGTGTTTTCACACTCACAACTAAAAATGATTTAAGCTAGACTAATTTGTCACTTTTGTCTTCCTTTTCTTTCCCTCAGGTACCAGTACCCAACCATGGATGAGCTTGCCGAGATGCTGCCCTCAGTTCTGACCCAGCTAAAGTGAGTCCAGACCTCAATCAGTCTGTACATGGTCCCTAATTCAATACAATTAAATAAAAATAAATGCCATATGTTTAAGAAATCATGATGGCTTCTTTTAAAGCCTCAAATAATTTGTGTATTTTTATCAGAATATATGCCAGTTAATAAGCAATATGAATGATTGTGCTTTAATTAACAGGATCAACAGTGTGATTGGTATCGGTGTGGGCGCGGGAGCTTATATCCTCACTAGACTGGCTGTAAGTAAAATATCTTCCCTTTTATTACCGATCAGTCATTGTATGTTGTAATATCTAACCGTTAGTTGGAGTAGCTTGTGAAAACGCACCATTAGATGTTTAATTGAGCAGCTGAATGAAGTTCAGGTCATCAGAGGTGAAGATCCTTGAAGTGTGTCTGCAGTAAAACCATCTGTCCTCAGTCTTCAATAAATCCCCCACACCTCTGAGATGCATAGTTCACAAATGCATTCACACTCTCACTCTACACAAAGCTCTTATTCACCATCTACGCACAAACATAAACGCTGAGGATGGATACCTTCATAAACACACTCAAACACACACTCACTCTCATGTTTCCTGCTGGTTATTATCAAGGTATAAAGTGATAAAGGGTATTTTTCTCCAATTAACTAAAGAATGTGGCTGTCTTTCACTATTGACTCTATTACTTCAGTTCAGCACCTCACACTTTCATCCATCTATCAGCTTGCATTGCACATTTACCATATTTCTGCCACTTGCTAATTGGGTTCTGTGATGTTAGATGGCCGATTTGAACAAACACACACCTACGCAGCTCTGCAGAACAACTTCAGCACCGTAAACTTAAACTCATTTGAATTACAATTTGCTTGTCACATGCTTGTCCGTAGACATGTGGTCATGTGAGTGCTACCTCGAGGGCTTGCATTTCTCTGAATGTCTGGTGCAGAGCGTTATGCAGAGAGGAAAAAGAAGAGGTGTGAAACCTGAACTTTTTTCCATCACGATCACTGTAACAAGACTTTTGATTAGTTCACATGGCTGCCTGTAGCTGAATTTCTTTGTTAAAACCAAGTGTGAGCCCTTGCAGTAAGTTAGCGCTTTGGACACTGAGATAATGAGAACCTGGTTAAGGTGATGATGTATAGGTCACGTATAGGTAGACATTTTTGCTTGGTCACCACTGAGGTTAAAGTTGACTTTCTCAGACCTGTAAAGCAATTTGTATAGTGATCCCTTTCCCATGGCTTTACTTTGTTGCATTCTCAAGCCATCTTCAGTAACAGGCCTATTTCAGTGGTAAAACAGAATACTCGAGACAAAATGTTGGCCAAAATCTGATTTTATCTGTCACGAACTAGACCTTATAAAGTGGCACTCCATACTAGAATTGAGACTCAAATAAGAGTTTTTCAGTCAGCCAACTACTCAAATCCCATTCCTTTAATATTTATTACATTACTGTTAAACATGGGCAAAGATTTTATAAATGCTTCATTATCTACCACTGTAGTTTAAAATGATGCTTAAAGGAATAGTTCACCTAAAAATATATATATGATGAAGGTCATCATATATTGACCTTAATTTGTTGCAAAACTGTATGACTTTCTTCTATGGAAATTCATTCATTCATTCATGCATTCATGCATTAAAGGGGACATCAGATGCCCATTTTCCATAAGTTGATATGATTCTTTAGTGTCTTAAAGGGTTAGGTCACCCAAAAATGAAAATTAGCCTGTGATGTACTCACCCTCAAGGCATCCTAGGTGTATATGACTTTCTTCTTTCAGACGAATCCAGTCGGAGTTATATTAAAAATTATCCTGGCCCCTCCGTTTGAAATATGGATATTTTTCTTACAAAAACGCATGGATTCGCTACAGGAGGCCATCATTCACGCAAACATAAACACATTTACGTAGATTGGGGGGGCGCATTCCCTTAAAAAAACAAAAGTTATCCACTGTGGCTTCAGCGGCTCAGATATAGGGAGTTAATGACGATTGCTATGTTCATTATTACATCCAACAACAAAACACCTCAATCACTTAGGAGACATTCTTGTCTACATCTGCTCCAGCGTCGAAACACCAGTGTCAGTCAAACAATCATGGGAGTGGCCTGCCAAAAGTACGTCACACTGCCAAGAATCTGTGAACGGGTTGATCTGAGAAAGAGGTTATGATTTATGGGGATGTTAAAAAAACACTGGATTTTTATCATTATAGGGTGGTTGTGTAGTACTGCCAGCACACATTTATGTTCAAACATCATATAAAAGTGAATTTTGCATCTGATGTCACCTTTAAATCATTCATTCATTCATTTATTTAATTCATGCATCTGTGCATTCATTCATTCATTTATTCATTCATTCATTCATACATGCAATGGAAGTCAACAGTCTTCAAATTATCTTTGTTTGTGAATGAAGTCATACAGGTTTGGAACAGCATGAGGGTGACAATGGCAACAGTTTTCATTTTTGGTCGAACTATCCCTTTAAACAGCTATTTGCCTGTTCGCATAATTAAACTTTAACTAGTAACGAGCAAAATTGGTATTGTCCACCAAAAAGGAAAGATGTTGCAGATGCAGAAGTATTTATACCTGTTTGATGACAAAATTTGAAGATTACTCTTTAGAATAATATGCACTGATGCACAAGAGAAAAGGCTGAGAATGAGTATTCAGAAAGTAAATGGGATCAGTTTTGATTTTCATGTTGACTACTGACATTTTTTTTTAAATCAGGTTTTCTGTGGTATTTTGTGCTCCCAGGCCAATTACAATGTGTTCGACTGTCACATGACCCTGACAAGTCTATAGGTAGCAATACCACAAGAAGTCAAGAATCTGTCTAATTAGACTGTTCGATCATCTACATGTCAAGCACAGAATCCTCTCAGTCAGTAGGTGCTCTGAGTGTTAAAGTCAGTATGAGCCATAATGATGGACTAATCCATGTAATCTTACCATTCTCTTAGCTGAATGAGCCTGCTCTGGTGGAGGGGTTGGTTCTCATCAATGTGGACCCCTGTGCTAAGGGCTGGATTGACTGGGCTGCCTCTAAGGTAAAATTTTGCATGTTTGTTTTGTGCGGAAAATTATTAAATAGTTAAATAAATGACTATAAAAAATATGATACTCGTACTGCCCCAGCAACATAATGCTTTAGTCTGCCGCAGTAGTCTTTTACAATAATCTTAGTATTATCTTGGATGCTTTTCTCAAAAAAGATACCATTTTAGTTTCATTCGCATTTTAGTGTAATGAACTATGCATGGAATTAATTTAATCTTTTCTTTTCTTTATACACTATGCATAGTTAAGATATCCTATCCTTTCATTATTAGCCAAAAGCTAACCCTAAACATTCCTCCATACTTAAGATTTCTTAACAGATTAGTGTAGTTGATCTTCTTAAAGATTTCCCTGTTATAAAGCTCATAATAACCTGAGAGGTCAGAATGCTACAATAATTAAAGGTGCTCAAGTCAGTGGAGGTGCTGGTAACACAATTTGTTTGATCTTCAAACATTGTGCTTTTCACAAAAAATGTGCATGTGTGTTTATGTTGTAGTTATCTGGATGGACCAGCAGTCTAGTAGACATTGTGATGGCACACCATTTCAGCACGGTAGGCCTTAAATATGACACTCACCTCTGCATCTGTAAGAGGATTCACTCAGAACAAAAACATTTCTCTTAGAGTGTGTTCATGACCTTTTGTACCTCAGGACGAGCTGACAGAGAACCAGGAGATCATTCAAACATATCGTCTGCACATCGCTCGGGACATCAATCAGGACAACCTGGCTCTCTTCTGCCACTCCTACAACAGGTGACATTATCAGTTCATGTACTGATCATTGTCATATGAGCTGATCTTGATAAAAGTTTTCATTTGCATGTCACAGTCGGCAAGATCTGGAGATTGAGAGGCCTGTCCTGGGACTTAATGAAAATACGGTCAAAACGCTGAAGTAGGTTGTTTGGTTGTCTGTTTTTGTCTATTTTGGCTGTAAATCATTGTGCCTTCTCTTCCTTAGACCTTTATGTCTTTCTTCTCTTACTGTTTAGGTGTCCTGCCTTGCTAATAGTTGGTGACACATCACCAGCGGTAGAGGCTGTGGTGAGTGACTAATCGAGAACATTGCCATTGCTTCTATGGGCAATGGTAGAGAACACAGTGTGCTTTCTTAAAGGCCCATTATGCTCATTATCTCTTCATACATTTCCGTTCAGAGTGTACCAATGACATCACATCCTAAAAGGGGCTGTGCATCATAAAGTCTTATGCACTTGTGCTTGTTGTAAAGCACTCTTGAATAACTATAATATGCTTCTGGCCTTGGATCCTGATTGTCCAAAACAGCAATTCCATCTGTTCTAAAATCCTTAATACAGTGACAGCTTAATGTGCACTTAATGAACACACCTACTGGGTTTGCCTAAGTTTGGCACTTTAGAGTGAGACTGAGCCACTAATGCTGGGCAAACCGTTTGGTTTAGTGTAGAGTTGGTCATTTTATCTGTCTATACTAGGGCTGCACGATAAATCGAAATGGAATCGAGATCGCGATTCGACAGAAGCTGCGATTGTCATGCGTATCTTTCAGTGAAGCACGGTTCTGTGATCAGCAGTAATCAGCAGTAAATCTCCATCCAAAGGCCAGAGGGCGTTCTCGCGCTGAAACTCCAAATACGCCTCGCAGAAGAAACCCAGAAAATGCCTATGGCTGCAGCT